ATGGCATTTGAATTGTTAGTGCAACACCAGTTGCTGGCCAAGAAGAACAAGTGTGTCTTTGCTGCTAAAAGAGTTAAGTACCTAGGACATTATATCTCAGCACAAGGGGTGTCCACTAATCCAATAAAAGTGGAAGCTGTGAGATCTTGGCCAGAACCACAGTCTGTGACATAATTGAGAGGATTTCTAGGACTGGCAGGGTATTACAGGAGATTCATCAGGAGCTATGGGGTCATTAGCAAACCTCTCACTGACATGCTTAAAAAAGACAATATTGGATGGGGTGAAGAGGTCGGGGAAGCTTTGAAACAACTAAAGGAGGAACTGACTACTTCACCAGTCTTAATCCTCCCACATTCTTCTCTAATGTTTATGGTTGAGACTGATGCATGTAACATGGGCATTGGGGCTGTCTTAATGCAAAAAGGGCACCCTATTGCATTCCTCAGCAAATTACTATCCAAAAGACATCAGTCTTTATCTGTATATGAGAAGGAACTATTAGCTTTAGTACTAGCTGTGAATAAGTGGTCATAGTATCTGATAGCTAGACCCTTCATTGTGAAGACATGCCAAAAGTCTCTCAAGTTCTTATTGGAGCAGAAGTTACACACATGCACTCAACTCAAATGGATCACTAAGCTCATGCAATTTGACTTTAAAATTGAGTACAAAAAGGGAAAGGAAAACAAGGCAGTTGATGCTTTATTAAGACTTCCTTTGGTTAAACTGGCTGCAATGACACTGTCAACTTTGAAAACTGACCTATTGGAGCTGATAATGAAAAGCTGGGACAAGAATGAAGAATTAACATAACTAATTCAGGCACTGAAGGAAAAAGGAACTGAGTTTAATGGTTACACTTTTATCCATGAATAACTAAGAAGAAAAGGAAGACCGGTAGTAGGTCCCGAAAAGCAGCTGGGAAGGGACATCCTGCGGCTCTGGCATAAATCACCAGTAGGAGGGCACTCTGGCATTGACAACACCTATAGAAGGCTGACAGCTCTTTTATGGTGGAAGGAGATGAGAGAGAAGGCTCGGAACTATGTGAAAGCCTATGATATATGTCAAAGGCATAAATATGATAATGCTCTTTACCCTAGACTATTATAACCTCTCAAAATTCCAGTAGCAACATAGAGTAGTATAAGCATGGACTTTATAGAAGGATTGCGTAAATCAAAGGGGAAAACTATGATTTGGGTAGTGTTAGACAGACTCACAAAATATGCCCATTTCATTGGTCTTTCTCACTCTTATTCTGTTCATGATATAGCTAAGCTCTTCATGGAAAATATTACAAGTTACATGGGATAGCAGAATATATCGCCAGTGACTGGGACCCAATTTTTACAAGCAAAGTTTGGCAAGAACTATTTTCTATGATGGGGGTGACTCTGAACACATCAACATCCTACCACCCTCAGACAGATGGCCAGACATAAGTGGTAAATAGGTGTTTAGAGACCTATTTAAGGTGTTTATGCTCAGACTCTCTAGCTGATTGGGTTTAGTTCTTAGCATCTGTTGAATGGTGGTATAACACCACCTTTCATACCTCAATTCAAAGCACACCTTATGACGCTTTGTATGGCCAGCCTCCACCCTTATATCTACCCTATGCACCTAGTGATTCTGGGCTAGAGGAGGTAGACTGAAGTCTGCTAACACGTGAATTCAAGGGGCAACTGTTAAGATATCATCTAAAAATAGCACAGTAGAGAATGTTGGCCCAAGCCAACAAACAAAGTTCTGATAGACAAATTAAAGAGGGCGATTGGATCTACCTAAAAATTCAGCCTTATAGACAAATTTTCATGTCTGGTAAATATTTTTCTAAGCTATCTGTTAGATACTATGGCCCCTATCATATCCTACAAAATGTTGGAACTGTGGCCTACAAATTGTCACTTCCTCCTCAACTTCTCTTACATCCAACCTTCCACTTATCCTAGCTCAAACTCTGTCATGAGCTTCCAGCAACCATTTCCCACCCCCAGTCATTAGGGCTGCTTATCGGGCGGATCGGGCGGTTATTTACTCTTAACGGTTCGCCTTATCGACTTTTAAATATATTAATCCGCTAGCCACCCGATAAGATATCGGACGAATTTGTATCAATTTAACTATTATCGGGGGGTTATCAGGCCGTTTATCATCCTAGTTGTCCTTCTCACCTGTTATGTTTATATCAACAGTCTGCCCAAGAATCTCATTTTCAGAGGTATACTGGTTATGAGTCCAATCATCGAATATTCTAGTTTTACCTAAAAGTCTGCATTCTTGACAATTTATCTCGTTTTTGTCCTGTAGCTTAGGTAGTACCCAACTATTGAGCAAATGTCGCCGCCTTATTTTCCATCTCCAGTAACTATGAGAAATTGACAAATTACAATTGAACATTTATAAGCTGAGATACTTGAGCGACAAGCTAGAGTTTGAAATGTATTAAGTGGTTGACAATGAATTAGTTCCTGATGAAGCAAGGCACAAATGCGCACAAAGTATACAAGTACATACACACAAATGCACATAGTATATATCAGTAAGTAATAAGAGACAGAAATGAGCTATCTCCATCATAATTCAATTGCCAGTAAGAGACGAGGTTTCCAAATCAATAATTCGTTGCTAGGAAAAGAACTGTATATATATATTCTTAACGGGTTAACGGTTTATCCGATAAAAAAATTAAATAATCCACCCCCAAACCGATAAGCCGTTAATAATAAAATTTCAATATGTTCCCCATCTGTTAAACCGATAACCCGATACCAATAAGCCATTAAGCCACTTTTGCCGTTTGGTTTTTGGTTTTCGGTTTCGGTGCGGTTTTGAACACCCCTACCAATTATAGAGTTGTCAAGCTCTTATTGTCCGCAACCTGAAAAGATCTTGGAGAGGCATATGATTCAAAAAGGAAACAAGGCAGCAGCTCAGGCCCTGAAGATACGTTTTCCCACCTTCCTTCCTTGAGGACAAGGAAGAAGTTAACAAGGGGGAACTGATACCAAGATGAATTGTAGCTATTTTAGAAGTCATACACTGGGCTTGCGGAGTTGTACCTGACGGTTAAGTTAGTTAAATAGTCAAGAGAGTTAAAGTTTGTAGTTAGTGCAAGTAAGTCCCAGAATAGTTTATGTATAAGTTTTGATATTTACGGATTAGCCTTGTTAAATGTCTATTTCAAATACTTATAGTCCAATAGAATTTGTCATGCTATTGTCTTTTAGCTGATAATGGAAGCACATATATCCCTATAAACAGCCGTTGCTTTCATCAATTGAAGAATTATCATTTCTATTTTCTTAGTTTTCTTCTTAGCTGTAGATTTTCCTTTTCAATTCCTACTAGATGCCGCAACAGTGTTTAGGGCATTACCCTTCATAATAATAATTGATGATGAGAATAATCATTCTTTTTCTTTCTATCAATTCATCTAATTCGGATATTGAAGAAAATATAGAAGCAAGATAACATTGATGATACTGGAAACGTCCTTTATCAGGCTATCATCTATTTTCTCAAACGCGATAATATGATTTGAGATAATTATAAATTTAGTTATGTCCATCCATTCAAATTTAAGTTGGTAAAAATTAATTGTAATCTATTAGATACTAATTACTAAAAAGTAGCTTAAGTTGTCTATTTGTCTCGGGCTCTTTTAATTAATGTGAACATTCTATTTTTGGATGGCAAGAATGCTAAACACAAAAGAACATACAAAGTAAGTTTCTCTTACTGGTCAAATGCTCCATATTGAAGCGAAATATTACATTAAAGTCGACATTTGATACTTCAGTAAATTCAAAAAAAATGTCTTTTATTTAAAAGAAAAAGTGTAAAAATTAACCTTTATCCACAATGAGATCGTTATTGTAACTGCAAGTTCATCTTAATTAAAGTTAGATTTGTCACGCCCTAGATTCAGGGGTTACGTCAGTGTCATTCGACTACTCAATCCCTCGAGTAAATCGGCATTTCATATTATGTTATATTTAACACCAACACATATGTAGATATGAGTTTCCTTTTACCATCATATCCATATCATTATCACGTAATCCAAGTAGTTTTGTATCATGCAACGAACATTTATATTTAAATACAAGAAATATATATTTGCACATAAGATTATGAATATCGATATAAGCAAAATGTCCCAACTATACGAGATGTCAATGTACATACAATCCAAAAGAATAACCCACTAATATAGAAATTCACTAAATTATAAAAGAAAGAATACGTGAGTTCCTTCGGGACATATCCCAATACAAAAATAAGAAATGATTATTGGCCACTATCGAAATACAAATAGGGCTTATTATCCGAAAGATATGACAAGTCTTTAGTAAAACATGAACAATATGTACAAAATAATCATAAGTTTTGTTAAGCATTTCAACATGCGTATCCAGAGGCGGAACTAGGATTTAAAGTGTATGAGTTCTAAATTATAAGAAAAGACGATGACCTAAAACTAATATACAATAGCAAGTTGACTAAAGAATGAGTATCGATATCTAATATATATTAAAGGTAACGAACCAGACAAACACAATATATGAATATAAACATTATCATTTCAGTTGCACTCGACGACTTGTCATGTTTTGAAAACGATCAATGATCGCATCATTAGGTACACTTTCAAATACTTCATCATCTATATAGCAAACTAAACAATCATTCAAAAAGTCATCACCAATTATACTTCGCAAGTCATTTTTAATAAACTTCATCGAGGAAAAAGCTCTTTCAACTGTTGCAGTAGCCACATGTAATATTAAACTTAGCTTCACAAGCAAATAAACAAGTCCTCATATCTTGTGAATATTTATTTTAACCAATGTCTTAGAGAGATCGCCAAGCCCTTTCAAGTTAGAGAATGCATTGTCCATTTCTCGCACATAGTCAATATAGTTGTCAAGCTCAATACCAAGAAGCAGATCAGTATTCACTTCACTAAAATGACTGTTAAGCTCCGAAGGTTACAAATCAATAGTGGCACAAAAAACTTCTACATGCAAATGATGAGAATATATAACAGTTGAGCTTTTACGCTTCGACTTTCCAAGACCATACTTATCATCCATTTTAGGGATCATAATACTATTCTTATCACAAAACGAAGAGACATCTTCTAACAAAGAATTCCATTTAGATTCCCTCATTGTTTGTAATTGCCTCTTTGTGAAATGAACAAGTTTCATAGTACTAACAATATCTTGATCTTTTCTTTGCAGCGCCATATTCAAATCATATGTAATTGCAATTATTTTTAACATCAAATGTAATATATACACAAACTCATAAGATCTTATATCTTCCACTAGACTTTTTGCCAGTGCTTTCTCCTGATAATTTGAACCCTCATTTGTAAGAACTCCAAGTACATGAACAATTGATGAGAATAAAGATATAAAGTTACGCAATGTCTTAAAGTGAGATCTCCAACGGGTATCATCCGGTATTTGAAGCCCAAGTTCTTGATTTAATCCACTTCCTGTATGAACTTCACCAAGCACTAATAACTCATCTAATTTTTCAGCTTGATCATCTCTAAGCATCTCCCTACGCTTATAAGAACCTCCAACAACATTCAAAACATTAGCAAGAATGTCAAAAAAAATATTTATATTATGATGTTTCTTTTCAACAGCTACAAGAGTCAATTGCAATTGATGAGCAAAGCAATGTACGCAATATGCCGAAGGATTATCTTTCATAATCAAAGCTTTAAGACTATTGATTTCTTCTTGCATGTTACTAGCTCCATCATATCCCTGTCCCCGTATTAAAGATTAACTCAATGAATGTTGTAAAAGCAAAGAATTTATTATTTTTTGTAATGCATGTACAGTTGTATCTTTAACATGAACAAGACCAAGGAATCGCTCAATAAGTTCACCCTCTTTGTTGACATAACGCAGAACAAGAGCCATTTGTTCCTTATGAGAGACATCTTTAGACTCATCAACTAATATCCCAAAAAAATTCCCATTCAAGTCTTCAATAATTGCTTTCGCCGTTTCTTCTACTCAAGAATTCACAATATCTTTTTGAATATCAGGAGAAGTCATGGTGTTATTTTTTGGAGCTTTTTCTAATACTATATTTTTTACATCTTCCTTCCTATCCGCATACCATTTTAAGAGATCTAAAAAATGACCTCTTCTTGTAGAAGTTACACTCTCATCATGGCCCCGAAAAGGCATTCCTTCTTTCAAAAGATACCTTATCACATCAATTGAAGCATTCAAGCGAACTCGATGTTTACTTTTAATTTTCTCAGATTGCTTGTCCAAAGATGTTAGAATAGATTGTGCTTGATTCATTAAATCTAGCATCATCTTGAAACATCGATTATGAACACTATTCACGTCACCCACATGTGATTTAAGCCTTTCTAAACCTTTATTCCAACCTCTAAAACCATATGTTGTGAAAGCATCACCTACTTTTATTTTCATATCCTCCAATCTCATTTTTAAACAAGTAATACCATAAACAAAATACTGCATCTTGTTTAATGATATATTCTAACCATTGAGAACATGAAGTTTTAAACCATTCAGGATTAAACTGACGCATTATTCCTCCAAAATCTCTTTTTGGAAAGACAAAACCACGAGGTTGACAAGGTCCATTTTGTATATAATTTCTCCTTACTCTGTCACGTAAATTAGATAGATATGCTGAAATTAGTTTTCTTTCAACGGGATCGGGCTCATAATCCAACACTTTTATCCGATGCTTGGGAAGGATTAATATTATTACTAATAACTGGACATAGAGAACTTGACAAAGGAGAGCTAGAAAAAGTTGTATAAGCTTGAGCTTTGTAAAAACTCGTGATCATATCGACTTTTGCTAGAAGACCCTAAAAATCACAAAACAAAATTACACTTCAAGTTGTATGTTTCACAATGCTGTAAAAACCTATTCTTTATCTTCTTTGACATAGTTCAATTTGTAAACTTAGTCTAGCTAGCTAGTATATATAGTAAAGTCAATTCAATTTGTTTGTCTCACAAAGAGACCCACTTTATAAAAAATTAATAGAAGAAACTGAACCAACATTGGAAGCATTCAAAGTGTTAAAAGGCTACTACATACGAAAGTTTTCTTCTTTCTGAGCAGTATTCATGTGAATGCAAGTTGGTCTCACTAAGAAACTAAAAATAAGAAAGTAGGACCACATACCTTGTGTGTCGATTTGTCGGAGAAGCCAAGTTTGAACTTTTGGAAAGTACAAAAGCACAAATTGATAAAGAGAATGAAGTTCAAAATGTGGGACAACCCTAGAATCAACGATTAAAAATCTGATTTTGTATAAATTGTCAAATATAAAATATAAGAGGAAAACATGAAGAGAAAAAATCAGGAAAGAAGAATTTAAGAAGGAAGAAGGGTCTAACTTCTAAGGGAGTAAGAACATACACAGCGAGAGTTTGAGGGCATCAGACTCCGGCAGATGGTAGTAGCAGCGATCAAAAGACTGACAGAGGCAAAATTGAGAACCCTAGCTTTTTTTATTTGGGAATTGGAAAAAGAGAAGACGTGTTGGCTGTTTTTGTTTAAAAGGAATTGTTTATTAGAAAGAGGAAAGGCTTTATGTTTTATTTATTAAAAAGAATAACTATTAATCTAAAGTAAGTCAAAAAGTGTCCTTTGGAGTTATTTGAGAATTATTGTCGTTAGTTTGTGCTTTCTGAAATTCTTTTTGTAGTTGTTCGAGAATTACATTGTCGTTAGTTTGTGGTTTCTGATATTTTTTTTGTAAAAAACAATTGTGCTTTCTGATATTTTTTTTAAAAAAAAAACAAAATAGCACACTGCTTCTAGCGGGATTCAAACCCACATGTTCTTCCTGCGAACCTAGAACTCTTACCATTGAACCCAAACCTCTTTTGTTACTATGTTTGGCATGATATATTTATATAAAAACAGTAAATTTTTCAATACAAATACAGGGTCTCGGAAAAAGTCACTGGGTTCGCCTGAACCCGCACCCTCTATTGTAGCTTCGCCCCTGTGTGTATCTAAATAAGAGTGCCGCATCAAATTAAACCATGGAATTCTTTCCTTAAGTTCATTTCTAAAACCATTAGGTTATTCTATTTTATAGTTCAACAATTAATTATATCACTAGCTTAACCACTTCGGAATATCGTCATCACTTCCTTGCCTGAGGTGTTTTTCACATTAAAGCTAATATTATATAATTAAGACAGATGATACAACACACTTTCCTTGAAGCCCTATAATGCATTTACTAGTATGGTTATACAATCGATCTTAGAGTATTTTATCTTGTTCAGATTAACTATATTCTATCGTATCATTCAGATGGAGTTTAGTCATAATACTCGCATTAGGTTTTCATATGTCATCATTGGCTTCAAATCATTGCACATTTTGGCCTTAATAAGTTCATATCGTCCTTGGCTATGATAACATTACTTCGGTGAGATTGTTTCGATTCGAGCATAATAACTATCAATATTCAATTAAATTTGGATATGTCCAAGCTATCGAATATCAACCTATCGCATTCATTAATATATATTACAATTCAAACTTTTAAATTATGCGTTTTTTTATAAGAAAGGTAAACCTCCACTTACCTCTTCCTTAGCTTTGGCTTCAAGAATACGCTCACACAAAATATCGTATCAATCTATATAAAATACACCTGATTTTTTTAAACATGGATTTTCATCTCAACAAAGTAAATATTTTTTATGTGTGCTTATATTTGATGTGGAATCTGTTAATGGGGGGTTTACATATAAAATTTGGGTGTTAGAGCACCCATTAACCTCGACTCGGAGTATGTATAATTACCTAGAATATTTAAGGGAACCGATATAATTAAACAACAAGCACCCAGGTAACAAAAACTCTAATGGGTGCTGGAGGGTTATGAAAGTTGAAGGTTGAGAGATCGAAACTGACTCCCAACAAGATTAAGATTGTTTTACTCCCTTTTTCTTTTCTTTTTTTATATTATCAAGCACTATTTTTATTTTGTCCCAATTATTAGGTCATCTCTTTTGCTTTTCACCGGCGCACCGGACACCAAGCGATGTGCGGTGCTCTTCTAGCCGCTGGATTCTACCTCCGACTGAGTCGTTTCCAGGGTGGGCAGACTGTTAAATAGAAAAGATAACTCTTCCCGATTGTTTTTGCCCAGTACTACTTTTTAAAAATTTCTTTTGATTCTAGCTTTATTTTTTGCGTTTCCTTCTACTTCGTCTAATTTACTGTAGCGAAGAAAGAAAATGAAAGTTTTCTTTAAAAAAATAAAGAGTTCCTCTGGAACGGTAATATCCACTAATTTTCTTTCTCGTCAATTGCGTTATCCATCATAGTTTTATGGTATTTGTAATATTAATACTCGGGGTTTCTCATTAATTTTTATCGTATTTAATTAGTTGCGCACTTATAGGATTTGATTGGTGGTAACTTTATGTTAAATAAAGTTAAGCATCCACGAACCCAAAATTCTGAATTCGCCACTGAGTCTGTTAACCAGGTAAGACAAAAATAAGCTTTAATAACATAGTAGCAAATTAACAACAACAACAACAACAACAACAACAACAACAACAACAACAACCTAGTAAAGTCTCACAGGTAAGGGGTCTGGGGAGGGTAATGTGTACGCACACCTTACCTCTTCCCTGATAGAGTATAGAGGCTATTTTCGTTAGACGCTCGGCTCAAGAAAATGAAAAAGACAATATATTAGTATCATCAACAGAAACCATAGAAATAATAACAACATTATAAGAACCAAAAATAGTTAGAAACGCAATAACAATAATCAGTAAATAAGGCTCGGTGCTATGAAAAATGGGAGAATAGTGTGAACACAACATTAACCACTAGCAATCTAAGACAAACCTCTATCAGATTAGCCTCACACCCGGAACAAAGTAGAAAATGCTCAACTATCTCCTAACCTACAACCCTATTGCTCGATATCTACACCTTCCAATCAAGGGCCATGTCCTCGGAAATCTAAAGCCACGCCATGTCTTGCCTGATCACCTCTTCCCAATACTTCTTAGGTCACCCTCTATCTCTTCTTGTACTGTCACGATCCAAGATCTCACATGTCATGATGGTGCCTATCGCAATCCTAGGCAAGTCGAGAATCACAAATAACCACACATTTTTTAAGTTCAAAACATAATGAAATAAGCTTAATAGTGAAAATCTCATAATAACTTATAAGAAAATACCACAACTCGATACAAAATCCCCAAAAATACCCCAAAATCCGGGTATCACTGAGTTCATGAGCATCTAAACGACAACATAATCTGACTGCTAAACAATGTCTAGAAAGATAGGATAGTACAAATAAACTTGAAATAAGGAGAGTCAATGTCTGTGGATGCCAAGGTAGCTACCTCAATAGTCTCCGAATATATAAAGCTCCAAAACTAGCAATCGCCATGTCCAGAAGTACATGAATCTGCACACATAGTGCAGAGTGTAGTATGAGTACAACCGGCCCAATGTACTCAATAAGTAACAAGACTAACATTGGGCTGAAAACAGTGACAAGGTCAGACAGGTAAAATCCAAATGCAAATATTAACATTAAATAAATGGAGACGTGCTTTCAAGTTTAGCAATTTAAATTCAACATGGATTAAAATATTCCAAGTGTGACTATTATGAGGAATGATACATCTCTATATCTACATGTCAATTATGCATGCCTTCTGTAATGCACATAATGATAAAGTCATGTGCATACCCTCGGAGTATTAAATCTCACTCAGCACACTCAATCACTTAGTCCTCACAGTCACTCAGTACTCTCGATCACTCGACACTCGCACTCGGTAGGTACCTGCACTCACTACTGGTAAGTCAGACTCCAAAGGTCGGATCCTGATCAAGCGCTAATATAAGCTAATCATGGAATGAATCAATAAAGCCTGTTGAGACGTGCAACCCGATTCAATAAATATCACTCACAATCAGGTCCCCAACCTCGCTCAGTCATTAACCTCTCTGATAAGTGGGGTTTTGACGGCTTACTAGTGCCATTTAGCTTTTATTTTAGTCTAAAAACATTGAATTATGTTCCTAAAACTAATAAAACTGTGCAAAATTATAGGAATGCTGGTAGTTGGTCTCCCGAGATGAAATTCAACTCAAAAAGGAGTAATCCGAAGCACAAGGCAATCAAGGGCACATAAGCACAAATATGCGGCCCGCAAAAGAAATTACGGACTGCATAATTCCATTTGCAACCGCAAACAAAGAGGAAAAATCTAGTAGAAATTTGCGCAAAGTGCGCCGCACATAAATTATGAGGCCGCAAAGCTGGGCTAAGAGTCAAAGTTCAGAAAGTATGCAAAAAGACCAAGTCCAGGAGCTTCTGTGAAATTGCAGACTGCACAAGATATGTGCGGCCGCAGAAGAGTGTCTTGCGGCCTCAGTCCTAATTGTGCAGACCGCA